CATTCAGGCAACAGTTCCCTGGGGGCTTCAATTTGTTAGTGCCACATTTTTTTAAATAACTTTCTTTTTCATGTAACATCAGCAATAATAAAAGCCCTTCAATAACAAGCAGAGAGCAGTGAACACGTTGTTTATCTTAAAATGCCATCATCGCTTGGAATCAAAAAGAATTGAAACCACACACTGTAATCACTGAGAAACAGCCCCGCATAAAAGTACACTGGATGTAAAAGCTTTTTCTTGGTCTCAGAACAATTCCTCTTTTCCTTAAATTGGTGCAAGTCTGAAGTATTTCTCCTTACTGTAAGAGAGTGAGTCAGGATTAATCCTGGCATGAGAATGAATGCAGCCTCCGACGTCTCCAAATCATTAGCCCAAGCCTGTTCAACTCACTTTCCTAATACCGGCATGTGAGGTACAGCGTTTGTGGCATAATTGTGCCTCATCATAATCAGATTTTTAAAAACATTATGAGGAGAACCCCATCAATATATTCCAGATGCCCTTGACAGTATTCAAATGTATGCTAAACTCAGCAGTCTGGATTTCTCTCACTTACGTTAGGCTAGTACATGCATTTTCTGCTCTAACCTGCCCTCAGTCCCCTTGTGCCTCCCCCTGGTAAAACTCTTAGACAACACAAACATTATTATGGGGGACGGGAACTTTTTTTTTTTTTTGCTTTAAGAAATGGATAGCTAGAATAAGGGAAATGAGAGTGTTTAAAGTGGGGATGAATAATTCTATCTTTTGGTAAACAGAGAATTGTAAAATTCACCCTGAGCAAAGTCAGGCACAAATAAAGAGGGAAATCCCAGCCCAAAACCAAACAGGCAGCGTTCCCAGAAACCACTGACATCAACAGGAGCCTTTTGGCTCATTCACTTGTCTCTGAAGGGCCACCACTACCACTGCCTGGAAATCAGTCAAAACTGTGATTTTCTTGCTTCGACAGAAGAGGTGGTGAGGAGAGGAGGTTATTTAATGATAACTAACCGTTGTCAATCTGAAGAGTTGCGTGGTTTCGTAGGCCAGTCTGGGCTGTGACATGATCAAAATCACCTTTAGAAATAAGAAAGCTGATGCGGGAATTTTATTTGATATCCAAATACAGGGGTATGACACTGCTTCTGCCTTCAGTCCCCTTCCTCTCAAGGGCATTCTCTTCAAGAGCAGGTCTGGAGGAACCAGAGGGGCTTTAAAAGCAGCAAGGCAGAGTCAGGCCCCTGCAAGGCCATCGGCTTTGCATGAGCAAGGACCCCTCTCCCCATCCAAGTGAATGTTGCCTCCACCGGCTGCTGCAAGAATTACAGTGGAAAGCCCGTAAATAAAACAAAAATGCAGACCTAAGTCCTACTCTCACGACATCTCAGTGAGAACAGGCCCTGACAGGAATAAAAAAAAAAAAAACCCGCCCACACTAAGCAAAGCAATTCTGCTATTTATGCAGAAGGAAGAAGGAAAGCTGTATATCAAACAAATAATTACACGAGCAGCTTTATCAGTCCCTGCTGATTGCTCTCAGCTCGGTTTGATGACTCTGCCCGCGCTCCGCAGGTTGTTCAGAGAGGTGCATGTCACAACATTTCATTCACACTCCTTTCATTTATTAGCACCTACTGCTACCTGTCTCCTAGTCAAAAATCTTAGCGTGCATTTATAAATTAGTCTCCTGGAGTCTGGCAGGGAGGTTTCAAAACCTATAAATCATATTTTTACATTCACACAAACTCACCCAGACAGACCCCACATGTATATATGAATGCATAATGATATATCTTAGCTATTATATACATGCACTCATATAGACACACACACTTTTATACAAGCATATTCACACACAGTCAGCTCTCCCCCAACACGTAAATACAGAAATTCAAATAACTGTCTATCACTGCTCTAGTTTGGGTGGGACAGGACATTTTATTTGGCTTTGGGCATTTTTGCCAGATGTGCTAAAATATTTAAGGGAAGAGGGTCTAATCCTTACGTCGGAAAATATCAAGAGCAGCAGCAGCATAAGCTCTGCCGGTTAACAGCGTCAGCTTATCACTACCGTTAATTACGCTGTACTCGAGAAAAGTTCAGTTACCTGATTAACACAAACATCATATGGATTTTGCTCTTAATTGCCACAGTTTGAGGGCATCCCTCAGATTTACATCCCCCCGCAAGGCCTCCTCTGCAGCAAGCCCCTCCGCATTTTGGCATGCAGCTCCCTGCCGGCAGGATGGACCAACAGAGCCCTGGATTTATGGCACTTGCATCCCTCTTCCTATTTTTGCCTTCTCAAGAGCTTTGCAAGGGGTTGATCTGAGCGCACTGGCCTCTGCTCCCCACCGGGAAGGGGAGAGAGAGCACAGGGGCAACGCCAGCGTAGCCAGCACCAGGCCCTGCTCTTAGCTATAGGTTTTGGTTATTTCATCCTAGCTTGCCCGAAGGGCTTCAGACTAACAAGCAGGCTCCGTGCTGCATAGCTGGCATATGGGTGCAGCTCCCTAAAAGAAACAAGCTCGCGAGCTTCCGGATTTCCCCTTCTGGGGCGCCATCTGCACCCGCTCCCAGGTCTTCCACCCGCTCCGGCAGCGCAGCTCGGCGCAGCCGGCAGCGCATCGCCCCTCGTCCGCCCGCCAACGGCGCGAGGCGGCGAAGCAGCAGCGTCATCCGCAGCCGCCCCCAAGTTTGAACACATTTGCTCTGTGATATGCTCAGCCCACGCAAGTTCAGCGTGCTTTTGGCCAGCCAAGGAGTCTTCCGCTGACAGATCTTCTCTGGCTGGATTAAGTATATAAAAGAGACTCTGTGGGCAGTAAAATAACACAGCAAGGCTACAGCTGGCTAATAAACCCCTCAACTTCAGAAACAGGAAATCTCAGCTGCAGCCCAAGCTACGACACCCTCCCGTCCGCCGGTCCCCGCAGGCGGACGCGGGTGCCCAGGCAGCTCTGCCTTCCCCTTCCCCAGCGAGGGAGGGGGCACGTGGGACCCAGCTGCCGAGCTCCCTAATTGCTCATTAGCGAGAATTAACTTGGTGAGCCACTTGTGTGATCATTGCTAAGAGTCTGTCACTGAAAGGGACTGCAGGCATCAGTTCTGTGCTTCCTATCAGAGCGCTGGCGGCAGCACGTTCTGGCTCCGGGATGCACGAGCTGCTCCCAGACAGGGAGGAATCGCCCCTGCTCCGGCGAGCTCCTTGCTGGCCTCACGCGCTGGCCGCGGCGCAGAGAGGTGCGAAGACGACGCTGGGGCAGACAGACAGAAATCCGCTCCCTCCAGCCACCTCCTGCTCTCTAGTTCATACCCTGAAGGAAGAGATCGAATATCCATCCAAAAACTGCTACTGTCAGTTATTCTCAGTGCCCGTATAAAAGTTATAACCCTCGGGAAGTAGCAAGCACAAGCCTGCCGAGATCTAAGCTCGGGACCTTGGTGAAATACAAGCGTATTGGAGGCACTGACTTGAAATACAAGGGGATGAATCCTCTCTTGGCATCGCTCCACTGACTTTGGTAGCGTCAAAGCCAGGGGTGACTTTGGTCCAAGACATACACAGAATAAGCTGAATTCTGCACTGCACTTGCCGACCTCATAAGTCATCAGCAGTTGAAATGTGGGTTACAAAGCCAACTTTCACAAAGGATGCGTTCAGTTAGCAGTGGGAGACCGCGCTGATCCGAGCTGTGTGAGCACGCCACCGAGATGTTTCCCACATAATCTACATTCATGCCATACTTTTTGGAACGGCTCCTTAAAAGACAGTGTCAAGGGTGCAAATCCTATGGATCAGTGAGATATGTGATCCAGAAAGCACAGGCTGTTTTCAACTCATTACTCCAGTGTTTTGAGAAGCCACAAACACCACATTCAGTTTTTCTTCATCCATCCAAGGATGCAAGGTAATGACTTGCTTAGTTTACAGATAGCCTGGATGGCTACCTATACGCACCTCTGTTACTCTCGAAGCAGGACATGCTGTACAGGAATGCTTTGTCTATGTATAAGGCCCAACATGAAATATTAGTACAATATACTAACATTGGATATATTTAAATGATATAACCAACCACTTGACACAAAATTTGAATAAGCACTAGAGTAGTTACCCTGTGGCTAAATGTCTCACCCTAAGACTCCAGACCTGCACAGACAGAGACACAACAGGACTTTAAACACAGTAGGAGAATTTCTGATAAAATTATGCATATACAGATATGCAACTATATATAGGATTTGCAAAAGGAAGAGTCTAGCGTTACCTGTAATCTCTCAAGTGCATAGATTTACACATGCAATTGAAGAAAATCATTGACTTTCCACATACCAGCATGGGAAATTAGATGAATCACATGCTCAAATTAGGTCTGGCATCCTCACATAACTGGGGCCAAATTTGGACAATCTTATTTCTCTTCAGTGGCCTCAAACTCAACCAGCCCTTGAAATCAGTGTGACTACTCCCAATCTACGCTTATATTTCATGTGATTAAGGGGATCCAGCTCTGATCCCCAGACACCAACAATCACCCACATAAATATTTACAGCAAGTTTACATGTTGCCTTTAAAAATTCAGTCTCTGGTATTTGCAAATTTTCTAGAAGTGCTAATACCCAAAGCAGAAACATGCTACTTGTCTTAAAACAGTTATTCAGCTAAATAATCATTTCAATTTGAATAATTCTAAAGGAGCTGAGCCAGCCGCCCGCCTGCTTCGAACAAAGAATATTGACAGGAGTGAGCAAACATGGGTTTATGCTCAATTTAAGGCAGTAACTAAAAGAAACATACAGCATGTTCTTAAACAGATACAAAACAAGTGGGCATATGTGCTAGGAGAAAGACAGGCCTCAGAGGCTGTTTTTGCACTAATCTCTAACAGAATTTAAATAATAAGACATCAACAGCGTGTCTAAAACCTGCACAGATGGGCTTTCTCCAGTCCCAGTGCGAAACACACTGCGCACCCCCAGTCTTTGCAAATGCTGCTCAGGTGGCACTCACACACACGTTTGCTGCAGCAGAAGTTTGCAGGAGAACAGACACAGGGCAGATGCAGATTTCCTCATTAAATGCTTTGCTGGAAAGCCCTCAGCTGCAGCAGCGATGGACACAGCGCATGAGAATCTGATTACGAAAAGATCACAACTCCATAAAGAAACGAGGCTGTGGACACAAGGGATGTAATGAAGAACAGCCTTCAACGTCACGTAAAATGCTGTGAAGACACGGGTTTGAATATTGACTTGCAAACAGTACTAATTAGATCTGAAAATATAAGAATGGCCTGGAAAGTCACACAAGCCTTCAGCAGAGTCCTCGACAGCACTTATACAACTGAGGAGTTGAAACGTCGTCAGCAAACAGCGATCCTCCTTCTCCCAGGGCGCTGTGACATTGGACGTGTGTTTTGGACTTCGCGTGGGGTTATTCTGGCTTCCAGGATGGCACTTTAAGATCCGGGATGCTTTCCCTGCATTTCAAATGTCCAAAGTTCCCTTTTAGGAGTCCCTGCTACATTTTCAGACAGCACGGAAATTTCACAGTCGGTATTTCCTTGATGACACGCAGAACGACGGAGAGAACCTATTTACAAAAGAGCCAGAGAGGTAACCAGCTGGAAACCCACGATGAAGGAAACTACTTGTTACCTCCCCAAGGGAAATGGGGAAGAGTAAAAGTTAATGGCAGCATAATCAGGAACTCTTCAGGGATACCAGTTTATAGGGCATGAGCACCTCTAACTATGAGACTTGTTTGCATATCAAGGGGCTACAGGAGAAGGTGTGTCAGCCAAACACAGCTTATGAAAATATGGCTATCTGTAAAGCCGATAGCTTCTTTGCATGCAAAAACACAATCCTCCTAACATTCAGCTTGGCAGCTGAAGGCTAAATAACATCAATGTGTCTGTTTTGGGCAGCCTGCACAGTGAAAACGCTTCCTATGACATTTACGCTGTTTTCAGTAGACATGCCTGGGACTCGGAGAAACAAGCTGCTTTGGGAGATTAAGGATCCCCTCAAAACATCCAAATAAAAGAAAAAGAAATACTCATACTTAAAAAGTACCCAATTCCATCATGTTGTTTTAAATGGTCAGTGAAGAACAACCACCTTGAAATTGCTCAAAAAACGGGAAGCTATGTTACAAGAACAGGATAGGATGCAATTCAGTTTTGGACAGAGCTGTAGGCATTCAAGTCCCTCAAAGAGTTTGAGCAGATTAAATTGCAGAGGTACTGCAGTGACCGAGCACAGAGGAGCAATGGCAGTTTGGGTACCCTTCAAACACCAAGCGCAGGGCTGGGCATGTCTGCAGCCGTGCCACCTCACCTGGCAATTTCTCCATCTCTGAGCAGGACTAAGAGTCCCTCTCCGGTCTGGTATGGGAGACCTTCCAGGGAAATACAAAGACTCAGGTCTGCATTTTAATGTGACATTTCTCCTTTGCAGTTTGCCCATATCCGATTTCCTACTCTGCAGCAATCAGCACTCTGTTTGAGCGCTATCTTTTGCGTAAAGATATCTGTGAAGATAGCTCCCCTTCACGCCAATACTCCAATTCACTTCCATTCTGCCCATTTAAAGATTCGCCCCAGCAGTTGGTGCAAGAGCAGAGGAGCTTTGGTCAGGTCTGCGCTCGGACCTTCCTGCCAACTGCAGCACAAAACTCTCCTTCCCCTCCTGCACCGAACGGGTTGGCAGTATTGCTGCAGACTATTCAGCGATATGAAAAGGACTGATTATTGAAAGTGTCTCACTGGGATAAGTGCTCAAATGCATGATTTTATTATTAGAATCTGTTTTGTTGAAAAGGCGGATATTAGCCAAGATTACCTCCTTCTGTTTTGTGATCATTTCTGTGAAATCTGCATTTTGGCCAAATCTAGAAATTTGGGGAAATTAAGTTATTTATCCTATTATGGCACTTTTACCATGCTAATGGCTAATATACTACTTCATTGTCAGGGAATTTTTAAATGTGCCTGCCATTCATAAATATATAATTACTTATAACATAAATATATAATTGTTTATAACTTTTATGTCAACATATTAAATATTTAGATGGATACCACATAATTACCTGGACAGAAAAAAATTCTCTCTTATATGTGGTCCGATGCACTAACATTTTCCAGAACTATAGCCCATTTTTACTAGCTGAATCACTTCTCAGCAGGA